CCCAAGGTCCCCTGGCCCAGGGTGCCAGCCACATTGCCCACTCCGACCACAGTCCCGGAGCCCGGTGTGCAGCCTGGAGCTGGTCGGGGCATGTGCTGGCCGGGCCAGGCTGCTCTGGGCTTCTGGCAGCCCCAGTCCACTCGGGGAGGGGCCAGCGACAATAAAGAAACACAAGACGAGGATGGCACGTGTCACCCGTGGGAAGCTCAGGGCCCCACGGATCTGCCACCCCAGCCACACAGGCCTCCTTGTCCCTCCAGGGATCAGCCCGCGCCGCCTCAAGGCCTCACACTCCCTCCGCCTGAGCCGCCCTTCCCTGCAAACTCTGCCCACTCCCCCGTCCCTCCAACCCCCGCTCAATGCCTTCGAATCAGAGGGCCTTCCCTGACCCCCAAAAGACCCAGTGGCTGGACAGCAGGGGCGAAGTCAGCAACCTGGCCAGGGGGTTGAAGATGCCCCATTCTCAGGCCCGGTCTGCTTGGTGACGGGGATTCCCTCTGCCAGGCGGCTGGTGGCAGCAAGGGAGCCCCCCAGCCCTGTAGCTTGGCAGCCCTGTGGCAGGCAGCTGAATGATAAGGGAGGCTGGGGTGCCGACAGAAACCCCAACAGCTCGAGCAGCTGTGATAGGAGATCAGGACTTGTCCCTGCCCCAGGTGGGGCAGGAAACTCCCCTCCCCTGGCAGTGGCTTGTGGGAAAGGCCTGCCAGTGACTTCCGGCCCTGACCTAACGCACCCCATGTGCTGACCGGGGAGAAGGAAGTGTCCTCAGCCCAGAGGGTGGGGGGGGGGTGAGGGATTGTGCCCGCCACCTGCCCCAGCTGCCCCAACTCCCACTTCATAGAAGGAGCTGGGAGGGGCTGGGCGCTGCAGCTCCCCACCCCCAGGACTGCCCTTCAGTGCACGTGTGACCTCTGTGTGCACCCCAGATGCTGGCCATGGCATGACCCACCCTTCCGGGGCACAAGTGGGAAACGGAGGCCGGGCAGGGGCATCAGAGCCACTGCTGGCTCCCAGGGTGCAGGGGCTGGTCTGCCCTCTTCTGCCCCCTGTTGGCCACCTGGGGAATTGCCCCTGCAACCTCCCCAGCCGGCGCAGGCTGCACCCCGACCTGCAGGCGCCAGACCACCCCTGCGGACTGACTCGCGG